AGAACCTCAAAATAGTCTCAATATTTCTTTGAATTTCACAACTGCAATGCTTATTTGCAACTACTTATCTGTTATAGTGGGGAACATCCACGTTTTGTTAAGCAAAGCCATAGTCAAGATAGCAAAATAGATAAAATATCAATTTCTCTACCCGAAGCTGTTTTGGTTACGATGGAAAGCTGGTTGACTCATAATTAAATGAGCCTGTTTTTCATAGGGAAGCACCTGAGAAACCTAGGCACCACCAGTTGAAAAGTATGGGTTGTGGTGAGCATGTTCACATTGCAAAACATGAGACCTGGCTTTTTCTTCTTAAAAGCTTCTCAGATTTTGTGAATGAAACAAAATGTTGTTGTTGATTTTTTTAAGACAATGCTTGGAATTAGAGGTGGGTGAAGGGAGGAGAAGAAGGATAAAGGGGGGATAAATTGTGATGGAAGGAGACTTGACCTGGGGTGGTGAACACACAATACAATACACAGATGATGTATTAAAGAATTGTACACCTGAAACCTATATAATTTGATTAACCAATGTCACCCCAATACATTCAGTAAAAAATTAAATTAAATTTTAAAAAGCACATATTCCCTTAGAATCCCCTAAGACATACAGCTAAGGGGCCAGAAAATAACATGACAGGCAGTCACGGGGCCAGACAATATTGCAAGAGGCAGCTGCTGACAACCAGAGGCAGCTTCCCAGCGGGGCACTGTCTGGAGAGTCACCTGCTACTGCAAGAGGAAGTCCTATCCTGAGAGGCAGCTACCCAGCCAGGAGCTGTCATGAGAGCCAGCTGCAGAGCCCAGACCATGTTGTGACAGGCATCGACTAGGCTATTTCTGTGATAGGTAAGAATGGTAAGGGGAAAATACAATATGGAGACAAACAAAACACCCTTCCTTGGATTGTTGTTATGAGGACAAGAAAATCATCTGTCCTTTAGCAGACACTCAGTAAGTAGTTGTTATGATTATTATCACCATTACAATGCCAGTTTTGCAGGACTTGACTTTAGCATATTTCTTTGACAAGTGGAGTATTTCATGATTATTCAGTTTCTGGAACTGCCAGAGAGCTTCAGGTTATTTCTCTGAACCCTACCCTCCCATGTCAGATTTTCCTTCCTTCACACCAGCTCCTAAGGTCCTAACATGCCCCACCTCAAACTGCACCACAAACGATCTAACCTTGTAGAAGCTGTGATCTGAGTACTTCCTCAAACAAACTCCTCTGCATTAAGTTGCTATGCCCCCTGCCTCCTTTTCCTTCCTATCCCTCCACGCATTCTGGGCTGCTGAGGGATCCCTGAAAAGTCCAAAGGAAGAAGAAAAAGAAACTGGAGACAAGTGATGTGATTCTTCAACTATTTATGGTCAACTATTTACCTTTGTCCTTACTAAATCTACTTTTCACAAGTTAACAAAGCTTTGTGCTTCCTCCAGATTGAAGATTGATTGCAGTTTTGTTTTTTTTTAACACAATAAAATAATAGTGTTTCAAAGTACAACTTCTCAAGGTCTGACAGTTCATGAACTCATCAAGGAAGGTATGCAACTTGTCCAACTTGTTTTCAAACCACTAATTTAGAAAATACCTCATAAGTGACATAATCAAAATATCAACCCCAAACCAAAAGTATAAGCACTACCCAACTGAATCCCTTTTAAAATAAGGTAGGTACTGAGGAGGCAATGATGCCCAGTAGAAAAACTATGAAGTTTTGGATCAGAGATTGGAGTCTGAAATCCGGAATCCTAACTAGGTAGGCTGTTGTGAACCCTTTGCAAAACTGCCAAGTGTCTGAGCCCCAATCATCTCTGGATAAATAGGTAACAGCTACTTGGAAGAAGTCTGCTAACTATTAGAAATAAAACCCCGAAGTACCTACACGTGACAAATATTCTACATGCTGGAGGAGAAATCTCTTCAGCAATCCGTGGAATTCGCTCCTGGTTCATATTAATCCTTTCTTCTGGGGTCAGAAGAGACAGTTCTCTCTTTACATTAATGTATATTTCCTTTTCATTAACTCTTCCCACAGTGATCGTGAGAAACAATGGTGACTCCACCTTGAAGCTAATATAACATTCTGACTCCTGAATGAACCCGGAGCCCTGACTCCCCCTGGGCTGTGGGATGTACCTAAGAACTCTGGGCTGACTCGGGATTCCCATTAGTTCTGCCTCCAGAGCAAGACGCCCTCCGCGTTGCCCATGTCCCAACAGGCTCTGGGGTCAGAGCCTCCCAGCACCTGGTCCCTTGGCCCACCCAGCACCTTTCCCAGTGTGGGCGCACTGCTCAGGAGCGAGGAGAACACAGTCTGGGAGGGGAAGGCACTAAGATATCCAGGTCGTCTTTCAACACATGTATGTATCATTGTTTGTTTACTTATTCCTCTACTGTGGAGCATTCAGATTGGTTCCAGTTTTCCCTACTATAAATAATGCTACAATAAATATATTTGTAGAGTATTTGTGTGTCTCTGGTTATTTTTGTACAGTGCCACCTTAATTACCTTTGAGGGAAAGTGCTCAAGAATCTGCCATTAATCCAGATAGCTTTCCCTCCATTGATATATTCCTTTAAGTGCTCAGAAAATACTTAAGAAACTTAGTCATATGTGGTGAAATGGATCCTCTCTTCTGATTCTTGAGCCTCAGTTTTATGTATCAAGTGGATTAAAAACAGCCTTCCTTCCCAGGGTTCTCCCTCTTAGTGGTCTCCCTCTGAAAGCATGGAAACAGGAAGGGAGAGGTGGTCGCTGTCTAGACCATGACAGGAACGGAGCAGGTGTACGCATGTTGACACATAGAACAGAGGTGCTCTTGACCATGTTTCCTGAAGACACAGTGGGAGTCAAAGGCAAACTGGAATATTTTTATTTATTACCTTTTGAAGAAAAATATCCAAACCTCACATTCATGGTATTCTGAATCTACCTCAAGAACCCTGCATTACATAAGGTGGGTTGGAAATCCATACGCTGGCTGCAAAACGAAACAGCCATGTCTACTATGCAATGAAAGACCATTAGACAGATATAACTGAACAAAGCTGCTTGAAGAGAGATCTAGATTTTGATTTTATGCCACATCAGCCTTTAGGTCTTATTCTTTAGATGTCTTTCTTTTTTTATTGAGATATATATTTTAGAGAGAGAGTTAGAAACATTGATGTGAGATAGAAACATTGATGTGAAAGAGAAACATCAATCGACTGCCTCCTGTATGCCCCCTACTGGGGATTGAGCCCACAACCTGGGCATGTGTCCTGACCGCGAATGAAACCGAATTGAGACCTCTCAGTCTATGGGATAATGCTCAATCCACTGAGACACACCAGCCAGGCAGCCCTTGGGTCTTATTCTTAAGAACCGTTAGTTATGCCCTGGCTGGTTTGGTTCAGCAGTTGAGCGTCGGCCCGCGGACTGGAGAGTCCTGGGTTTGGTTCCCGCTAAGGGCACGTACCTTGGTTGCAGTTTGTCCCCGGCCCTGGTTGGGGTCATGTGGGTGGCAGCCAGTCGATGTGTCTCTCTCACATCGATGTTTCGCTCTCTCTCTTCCTCCCTCTCTCCCTCCCGCTCTATCTGAAGATTTTAAAAAATGCAGAAATGTCCTCAGGTGAGGATAGGGGAAAAAAGAAATAGAACCATTAATTATGATGCAGGCAGTATTGGTAGAGGAATAAGCGTGGTGGCCCTGGAGCCAGAGTACGGGGGTCTGAAGTCCGACTCTCCCATTTACTAGCTGCGTGACTTTGTTATCACTTCAGATCTTAGTTTTGCCATCTATAAAATGAGAGTATTAATAGCTATTACTTTACAGGGTTGTTGCAAAAATCAATGAGGGAAGGCATGGAAAACCGTTTAACTAGTGTCTGCTGTGTCCTAAGGACCCAGTAACTGTCAGCTATGATCTTGCCCACTGCTGAGTCAGGCCATGTGATACAGGGGAGGCTTTGCTGATGCTCTCAGTGGTCTGTACCCACATCTCATCTTGGTGTCAGCAGGTACACGTGACCCTGAAGGTTACTGGGCAGCAGTAATGAGTTGTGTTCTCAGATGCACATTAGATATTAGTATTGCTACACACTGAAAAAAAGGAGTTTATAAAAAGATACCTGGTTTAAATTTTCCGTTCTGCCAACATAAAGTGACCTTTCATATTACAAAGGGGTCTATGAACCAGATATATGCATATTTTTTCCTTTAGTTTTTAAAGGTAATCTTAGAAAGCTGTTGTCATTATTTCTATCTTAAATATTACAAACCAGAGCTCATGAAGTAACGTGATAACAAATTGGTAAGCTAGAATTTGCGCCAACATATGTTTGAGGCCAAAGCCTTCAAATTTATAATTAAACCATGAGAGGACATACATAAGATTTCTATAGAGAAATGAGAGTGTTTGAGACCCAAATGCTCACTCCCTTGTATATTTTATTTTCAGTGTGTTTCCCTTAGAACAACTTATGGGATAGTAGAAATATCAAGTTACCACCGATAAAGTATACAACTAATAAATATAAGATATATAACCTTGTGAACTTTAAATAACTAAACGTTTTACTGCATGGCTACTTAGTAATCATATTTGTTCTAAATATAATATAACAAATAGAATAGAATATAGACTATGGAATAGAATATCCAAAATTTAGGGGAAGAATACCTTAAATTTAGAAGAAAATTAGGGAAGAGCTTAGATGGACCTGTGATAGGTTTCATGCCTCGACAGTCTACTCTGGGAGTTTTAGCATTTTGATTCTTACTCAGCTACTTCCAGAACATCAATGATCTGCCTACTTGCCCTGGACAGAACCTAAGCGCCCCTTTCTTTCTTATGGGATAGCATGACAGACTTTCCAGAGTGTGGTTGCCGTCTTGTTTTGTCTCTTCCCCTCCATCTGCCCAGATGCCCTGGCCCTCGCTGGCAGTTTTGGCTGTAAGGGGACTGTCGTGTGTTCCCTTGCCCTGGGTCTCTTCCTGCGAGTCGTACCTTACTGTTTAAGATCTGGACAACCCTCTGCTGCAGTGTGTGGCCAGCCTTGGGTCTCACAAGGATATAAATGACTTTCAGGCCGGGGCAGGTGCGAAACAGCTTTTCCATCAAGACCTTGCCCAGAAAGCCGGTGGCCCCGGTGATGAGAATGGACTTGCCCTCGTAGAAAGCTGCAATCGTGGACATGATTCTTCGGCTCGTCTCTCACAGCACCACGAAGGGTTCCTGCAAAGGACGAGAAACAGCAGACGATTACGTCCTCGGAGTTCTAACATGCAGTCATTTCCAAGGCTGTGGGTGCTCGCAGGGTTTTGAAAGCAGAGAAAGGTTGGGGTGATGGCGTCACGGTTTGCTGGCAGCACGGTTCATTGAGATCCATATTTACTTTGCCCACTGTACATGCCTGACTTTATGCTGGGAACTGTGGGCAAGAAATGAGTACAACGTGGTTCTTGTTCTCAGGGAACTGCTCAGGGTCCAATGGGATTGTTATACGTGACGTGGAAGTACTAATACACCGGGGACACGGGGGAGGGGGGGTGCGGGGGGGGGCTGCGCGCAGGGCCGGGAAATGCCAGTGGCAGACTCCCGGGTGAAACTTGCAGGGAAGGCTCTTCCGAGCCAGAGACAGGAGAGGGCGAAGGTCTGGGGTGTGGTGTGGCTGCTGCGGGGGATAAAAGGAATCCAGGACTACAAGGATGTGAACGATAAGGCTAGGAGTGGCTCTGTAAACTGTCAAACTGAAACTTAGAACAGCTCTACGGTTTTATTAAATTATGTTGTAATTAGTATTTCATTGCAGCTTTTTAAAAAACATTCTCATCCGGCCGGTGTGGCTCAGTGGCTGAGCATTGACCCATGTACCAAGAGGTTGCCGGTTTGATTCCCAGTCAGGGCACATGCCCAGGTAGTGGGCCCGATCCCCAGTGGGCGGCATGCGGGAGGCGGCCAGTCGATGTTCTCTCGCATCGATGTTTTTATCTCTCTCTCCCTCTCACTCCCTCTCTCTAAAATCAATAAAGGAAAATAAATAAATACATAAAAATAAACAACATTCTCACCCGAGGATGTGTTTTTCGTTGATTCTAGAGAGAGAGGAAGGGACAGGGAGAAAAAGAGAACATCCATGTGAGAAAGAAACACTGGTCACCTCACGCGTGTGCCCCAACCAGGGTGGAACCTAAAAGCTGGGGATGTGCCCTGAGCAGGAATCAAACCCTTTGGCGCACAGGACGTTGCTCCAGCCACTGACCCACACCTGCCTGCGCTCACTGTAGTGTTACTTAGAGACAGTACTGGAGCAAATAACTTCTGGTTCCACTTGAGCTAAGTGGCCCTGGCCTGCCCACCCATCTCTGAATGGCTATGCTGTTCTTTTCCTTGAGATGAAAAGGGGTTGGGTGCCATCCTTTCCTTCAGCTGCTGGTAGGGTTGAAACACTGCAAATGAGAAAGGGCAGAGAAGACAAAGCCAGGACACAGACCAGAGGCTCGTAAGCCCTGAGGTAGCCCGGGTGCCATCCAGCGCCCAGTAAGTGCACTGAGGGCCCTGTTTCCAGGAGCCAAGGTGCGGGGAGGCCAGCTGCGGGGCTTAGACGTGAGACTCTAGAGGAAAAGTCACCCGCGCTGTAGAAATGCAACATTGTCGTGTAGCCCCAGGTTAAAGACTGTTGAGCGGAAGCAGCGCTAAGAGCTTTGAACCAAGGCAGCGAGGGCTTTGCGGGAGCAGAATACCCTCTGTCCACGGGCTCTTGTGGCTACAGCAAGTCCTCGGCGGTCAGCCTGGATGGGGTTGCCCTGGACCTTGCATAACGCAACTCCAGCGTCTGTCCTGACATCAGGGTTTATAAAGAAGAGATAAACAACAATTACAAGAGGCAACACCCTGCCTCATCCCCTGCAGTCAAGATCACTCTGCCAGCAACTCCTTAAGAACAATTTTTCATAGTTACAACGTATATGCTATAATTTATAGTCATAGTATATACTTCAAGGTTCTTGAGGCTATGTTCTCGGACAGAACTCTTTGCCTGTAGAAGATTCATTTATTCATGAATTTATGTAACAAATAATTTGGGGTACCTGCCCTGCTGTGTCCCCGGCAGAGGAGGCCAGGGATACAAAGATAATAAATAAGATAACACAGACTGTGACAAATGAAAATAAAACAGGATCAACGACAGAAATGACACCCAATCATCAACGCTGTCACGTTTGCTAGATTCACTGAGCTACTGTTTAAAGCCCTTTTACTGAGGGTTGATGTGAGAAATAATATTTTGAAGAACACATTTGGGCTTTGTGCAAAACATCAATTAATGATCATTTTTCGTCATGTTACATAATGTTACTCATATTACAAGCTGTCCAACCATTTTCTCAAGAATTTAGCACTTGGGGGAAATACAGAATATTCTTGCCTTACCTGCCTTGAAGCCCAGAAAAGCAGTGTCACGAATTTAGATAACATGCTAGTTTAGGACACGGGTTCTGAGAGAGACTGCCTGAAATCCAATCCCCGTCTATCACTTATTAGCTATGTGGCCTCAGGCAAATTATTCATCTCTGTGGTGCAGTGAAATGAGGATAACGGCAGTATCCACTTACTAGTGCTGTGGTAAGAATTATATAAGTGAATACATGTAAAACTCTTAAAAATATTGTCTTAAAAACTCTTAAAAGTAAGTATTAGCTATTAACATAGTCACTAGTTCCACATTTTTCCTCTTAATGATTCTGGCTTTTCCTTTTAACACGTACTTTAAATGTTCTGTCTCATGCATTTTGTACACCCTCTTCTGGAAATAGGAGAAGACAATTTATAACTCAATTAATCATCAAGCAAAGTAAAGTATTTTTACCAAATACAACTCCACTTGATGATAAATCTTTCCAATTCTTTTATATATGAAAATGTTTAGGTACCATCATCTCCCACTATATTAGGCATAAGTGAGCAGGATTTGGGGCAGAAAAATACAGAAGGAAAACTAAATTTGGACAGGGTGACTTCCATCTTCATTTCTTTTGAAGATGTCAGATGCTTGCTTTGATATATCATATGCTTTCTTGGGGTCATATTTGCTAGAAATGTAAACATACTGTTAAGATATTTTGGTTCCAGGCACAGTTTTGCAATATGTGTTCAAGAATTTTAGAGAGCAGGAAACATAACCCTCACGAGCTTATTTCTCGTGGGACAAAGGAAGGCTTGATAAGTCCTCAAAGAATGGAATTTGCCTGTCCTGTCCACAGTCCAAATACTTCTCAAACACAACAAAAACCATAGCAGGGTACACAGAGTATTCTGAGAGGAAAACAAAACATAAACTAGTGTCTCCTGGGACTCATCACCTGATAGTCAAGACCAGGTGGTTCTGCAAAATGTCCAAGAGAATTCACCAGCCTCCGATCCAAGCTGTATCAGAGATGTGTCCTTTATTTCTTGCTTCTACTCTCAAGCCATGGTTTGGTTGTTGGCCCCAAAACTCCTATACAAAACTTGACTCCCTGAAACCCATTACATATGGTATAGCTTTGCAAGGTCCAGGAATGGTTCATTCCTAAGGTAATTCATTAAAATAATTATTAAAATCATTAATTTAAAAAATAGTTTTAGGGTCATTCGTGGAGGAGATGCAACTGTAGAAGAAGGAATATGTTTAGAACTGCTGACCAGCTCAGGGCTTGCCTTTCATATCTTCTCAGATCACCACTGCAGAGAGCAGAAGATGATTTCCTGTCCTTCAAGCCTGGAATATAGTTTATGAAAATCCTACATTGCTTTGCCAAACCCCAGACTCATCCTGTACGAAGCAGGATATCTGATGCTGGGGCGAAAAAAATGAGGAACCTGTGAGTCATCCAGTGTATCTTCACTGAATGTCAGCTCTGAGCCAGGCACTGTCTAAATTCCGGAGATGGTAGTAAACAGGCCTGTATGCAGCTTAGATTCTTCCTTTCTGTTCTGAAGCCCTTTTCTCCTTAAGAGCATCCGTTTCCCCATGGTCGTTAATGAAAACAAATAGTTTTTACTCTCCTTTGGATACTGAAATGAGGCCCTTCTCATTTCTAGAGAAAAGATGTGAAGACACTGAATCATAATAGTTGTGACAAGTTATACATTTTTTGCATGTAACAGTGCATGGGAACTTTAATTATTCTTTGAATAGTTCTGGAAAATAAAAAATTAAAATTAAAACATTTAAGGGACACACGTTTATCCAAATTTTTTGGTTGTCCTTTAGAGAAACACATATTTTAAAAAGAAACAAGATTCTTTGCCTCTGAGAACTCTTCCGCTTGACCAAGTCCTCTTGGTCTTGGCTCTATTACCATTTCGGGACAGATGCACTTTTGCTGTGGGGCTGCTCAGTGACAATAACACCCTCTTTCCTCCAGCCCGGTGTAACCCGAAATGACTCTAGACTCCGTTAAATGTGTTCTAGGGGAAAAGTGCCCTGCACTTCAGAGCACCATTGTTCTAGGTCCTTCTTTAATTCTCATTTTATAATATTCAGCACATCCTATTACAAAGTCAAGATTCAAGGATGAAACTTCTGCTTGTAAAGCTAAGTATAAATACGGCCCACTGCCTCACCCTGTTTTGTCTATATTAAATCATTTACAACTAATTATAGTTACCCAAGTTAATTGTCTGTGTGGCAAACGGGACAGTATTCAAAGTGAAGATGAAGGGCAATTTCTCCAGGGAAAGATTTCCCACTTTTTGTTTAACCACATTTCTGTCATCACATAAATTAGACTACTAGCCTCACCTTTCACTTAGATTGAATCTCTCAACTTTATTCCAGTCAGACCAGCATGAGATCAGCTCAGAACAAAACCATTTAGTATTGGTTACTGTAGATGATAATTCTGTGGATAATCAAGTCAATCTCATCTATAAGTAATTCTGTTGCTTTTTTGTTTGTTTGTTTAAGATACCCAGTATGTTGTGTTAAGTGACATTTCATGTAGATAATGGGGTTTGAGTTGGCAAAGTGCCCAGGAATAGGGACTAGTCTACTGAAAAAAAATTAATATTGTTTTTTTTTTTTTTTATCCTCACCCGAGGATATTTTTCCATTTTTTGTACAGATAGAGTGGGAGGGAGAGAGAGGAAGGGAGAGAGAGACAGAAACATCGACGTGAAGGGACACATCGAGTGGCTGCCACCCGCACGACCAACCAGGGCCGGGGACAAACTGCAACCGAAGTACATGC